ACGATCTCACCAGAGCAGAGCAGAGGGGCAGGATCACCCTCCTTGACCTGCTGATCATGCTCCTTTTGATGCAGCTCAGGATACAATTGGCCTTCTGGGCTGCAAATGCTCATGTCCAGCTTTCATCCACAACTACCTCCAACTCCTTCTGTGCAGGGCCACTCTCAGTTCCTTAGTTACCCAGCCTGTATTGATACTGGGAATTGCCCTGACCCAGCAGAACACTGCATTTCACCTGGTTGAAATTCAGAAGGTTCATATGGACCCACTCTTCAAGCCTATCAAGATCCCTCTGGATGGCATCCCTCCCTACAGCGAATCAAGTGTACCACCCAGATTGGTGTTACCCACAAACTTGCTGAGGATGCACTGTCAAACCAATATCTCTTCAATTTATCAGTGAGAATGTTGTGGCAGACCATACCAAGGGCCTTACAAGCCTTACACAGGTAGATGACATCTTCATCGAGAGACTGGGTATGAAGTAGATGGAACAGGGTTGACATACTCTTTCTAGCTTGTTCATTCTCATTTCTGGAGTAGAACTGAGTGAGATTAATTCACACAGCTTGCATCTCTTAAAACAGGAATCTCCATACTTTCTTTTCTTGGGTGCTGCTATCAGAGGAAGCAGTAGCGGCAGGTGCCATGGGGTTGATGCTGCATAAGATGAGGTTATTGGTTGCTTGAATTATATATTTCTAAGCTCAACACTTAGAAATGCCTATCCACCCATGCTGTGGATCCAGCATCCAGATAACTTTTCTTAAAACACGTTGTAGACTATAGGAAGGAAGGAGATCAGCTGGGCAATGTGCAGAACCTTGAAACGTTGACAGCTTGGAATAGTGTACATGAAACAGTTAAGTCTCACTCTTGGTAAGGCCATCAGCCTAGACTTTTTTCTTCAGGACTGATTAACTGAAGATGGGATTGGTATCAGAGAACTCTCTCTTTTAAAGAGCCAATACTCCTACCTTAATGAAAATCTTCCAGGCAGGCTGGGTTTGTTTTTGCAGAAAATGTTCATGGCCCTGATTCCAGGACATGGTGTATGGTATCCAAAGCCCAGTTGAGAGGAAGACTCTCAAAGTAACTGTTTTTTTATATGATGTACTTCAGAACACATGGATAGTCTGTCCTGCATGTGAGTATATCTTACTGTACTTAACCTTTGCCATCTTCAAGACCATAAGGCACAGGCAATGGGATTTGGCTCAACAGTTTGGTTGCCTGTCCCAGCTGAGTAAAAATTGAAGATAAAGCAAATCACTGGCTCTGCTCATCCATTCATCTGCTTTTATGTGTTTTGCACTGCTGACTAGATTTTCCAGCTATGACCTGAACCGAAGCACCTTTAGCAGCCTTCGCAAGTCCTGAAATTTCCCTTTGCTCTTTGTGTTTCACCTCTACTGTTTCTCTTTAGCAAGGGATTTTCTGTGACACTCTGTGTTGCTGATGATCCTTTTTAATGAGTACATAAAAACCACCCAAACCTGGGACTACCTGATTTTACTATCAGTAAACAGTATCAGATCTGTCTTCACAAGTGATTACCCTTTCAGGCTGATTCACTTTACATTTGTAACAAAGGAGCTGGCCACATTTTCTCATGCTGGTTACATCTGCACTCACACTATTAGCAGATATTAAACATCGATGTTAATCACTTAAAGTTTAATCCACGTACTTAGTGTGGCCCCTGTGGGTGATGTCTTGTACAGGGCTATATTTTATGGCTTCTACCTGGAGAGCTCTCAGGTTAGGCCAAAAAAAAGATGCTGTTGCTTGATGTTTAATAGCTTGGACATTCTTGTGGAGCCTGTAAAACCTCACCCCTGCTGTTATGTGGGCTCCTCAGCAACTGCACAATCAGTGTATTATAGCTGCAAAATGTTTTTCTCAGTCAGAGGAGCTATATTCTAAAATAAATATTTAAAAGAAATTTTCTGAAGAACTTCTGTCTACAGATATTCACTTGTGTCACTGCAGCAGTAGAATTGCTTTCACTGGAGTTTGCTTTGTTTTGGTCTGGCTGCATATTGTGATACAACTGAAAAAACAAAAATACTAACTTTTTATAGATGCATTCACTTTAATAATTAGAAAATTTCTCATTCCTGTATAGCTCAGAGCTGTAGCATGTCAGCAAAGGAGAAACATTTTGGTGTTAACTTTGCTCCTTGTGATGCTACAGTTAATTACTATGGGTAGAGTCCTGCTGAGCCTTTCACAGTCAGTGGTTGGCATGACTTTGACCATAGGTTACGTCTATGAGTTTGCAAGTAAATCACAAAGAATTAGGTTTTGGCCCATTTCATGCCGCTTTCTACTCTGAATTGAAAACAGAAGTAACCATAGAAAAGCACCTTATTTTAGTCATGTTTTGCATAGAGGATAACAGGGTTTGGTCTGGCAAAACTCCTCTCTAGAGAAACAGAATTATGGGGTTGTTTCATCGCATCTCCAAGATTTACGTGTTAATGACAAATTTGTAAACCCTTGACATATTTGAAAACTCTCCTTGTTGCACTGTTGCTACTCACAAACAGACTTGAGAGAGGTGTAGTGGAGGAAAAACTAACTGACACTGTACCTGTCAACTTGATGCAAAAGTAACAATAAATCTACCTTACCACCAGCAAAATGTGATTGCCAAACCAATAGAGAGCTGTTAGTTAAGATAGGTGCCATAAAAAACAAACATTTGTACAGTATGCCCCTGTCTATGTAAGACTATGTGCATATTCCATGTGGATATACTTTTTGCACAATGTTGGGTAGTAAGGAAAGTCATTGGTACATGCAAAACTTATATGTACAAGCATATATACCTGTATGCATGTAATGTACATATATGTGTAACTATATATATACACATATGCCAAAATCCCTCAGATTTTCATGAGGATGAATAGTGCTGCAGCATGGCCAGCAGAATACAGCAGAAGTTAGGTTAAGGGCTTCAAGGAAGCACTGCCACCATGAGCACAGTGAACCTGGCCTATAGAGACAGACTCAGCCTCTTGCATGAACAGCAGGTGAGTTCATCCATACTCAGTGGGGGGTTCATAACTGATGGCTGACACTGCTTCCGTAAAACTGGCAAACGGAAAGAAACAGGTGAAAGTAGAGACGCGTCTGAGCTCCTTGACATGTGCTGCAGACCATGATCTGTGTTAGAAACTGCTAACCTGTGTAACTGAGAAGATAATTATTTTAAAATATTTCCCAACGTGGAAGCTAATGTTTTGATGTCCATTAAAGTCTCCAGAGAGATGGAAATCTTCAAAAAGGGTAAATTGCCTCCAGTTGTTGCTAAGTGATTTTACCCTGACCAAGGACTTTGTGAGGCTCATGCTCTGCCAGGGAGGAGGGGAAGCCGGGAGGAAGCAGAGACGGGGCGCCTGACCTGGGCTAGCCAGGAAGGTATTCCATACCACAGCACGTCATGGCCAGGGTGGGGAGTGACTGGGAGTTACCCGGAAGGACACGGGCTTCCGGGTGGAACTCGTTTTCTTGGCCGGTGGTATCGTATTCTCTTCCCTTGTTATTTTCCCTTATCGTTGTTGTAGTTGATAGTAGCGGTGGTGATTTGTTGCTGGACTGTTCTTGTCTCAACCCGTGGGAGTTGCCCTTTTTCGATCCTCCTCCCCGTTCCACCGGGAGCGGGCAAGGGGAGAACCCCGGTGGGGGGGGGGGGGGGGACACGGACCTCGATTGTTGTCAGCTCGGCACCACTCACTGGGAGTGAGTAAACAAGTTGCCTGACTGGGTTTAAACCACGACACAGCTACAGTCAATATCAATGGAAACAGCATGGAGCAACTACCCAGCAGGACTGGGTTTACTCTGCAAAATATTCAGTGGTACATTTAACCATAATTTCTTCAGGGTTTGGTTTTTTTTTTGACAGTTTCAGCTGAAAAGACAAAAGTATAATAATATTACTATATGAGTAAATTTACATGTGTCCTTCATCTGCATATAGCACCAGCATCACATTTCATACAGAGAAAATGGAGGTTAAGAGTGAACTTTTGGCCCAAATAAAGTCAGTGGGAGTTTTGCCATGGCCTTTAGAGGACCAGCTTGTTACCACAGGTATTCAGCCTGAGTCAGTATAACCCATTCTTATTTATGGACTTTATTTGTGAACACAATTTTTGCTTTAGTGGTTAGAGTGTGTTGAAAATACTGACCTTCTGAGCTAACGAAAGGCAAAAGCAGGAAAAAAAAAGAAGTGATTTGTGTGCACGATAAAAGTGGGGGTATTTTGGTTGCTGTTTTTTTTTGTTTGTTTGGTTTTTTTCCAGAGCTGAAGAGCCACCTTTATTGTGCCGGTAGAGGGGGATCACAGTGGTCGCTCAGAGATGAAACACGGTTGGTGCCACTGAGGTGTCCAGGCCGCGCGTCGGGAGTTTGGGCCCGATCTTGCAAGTGGGAGTTGTCTCGCACCCACGTGGGGCTAGCGGGGATGGAGCTGCTGCCGCTTTCCAGTGCTGCGGAGTCAGAGGATGCTGCCGATGGCCGATGCCTGCTGGTTCTGGGGCTCCTGGTCTCAGGTATTGGCGAGCCCTGGGACAGCCCCTCACTGCCTGGCTGTGGGTGCTCCTTTCACCACGTGGTGCTGGCAGTTGGCTTCTCTCTCGCTGTCTTCTGAGCCGCGTGTAGGCAGCTTGGGTGTGACAGTTCAACTGGGAGCACGCTGGGGAGCCGTGGCACGGCCCGATTGTTGCAGTGCCAGTGTGTGGTGCCAGGGAACTGTGGCATGGCTGTATTGCCTCCTGTCTGTCAGTGCTGCAGCTGCTGCTCCCTGATGACTCGACTGTCACTGCTGCAGAGCTGCTAGCACGTGCTGGGGAGCGCTGGCGTAGCCCCGACACAGCCCGTCTGCGTGTGCTCCTCTTTGCACGTGGTGCTGGCGTGTGGCTGCTCTAACGGTGTCTTTTGCGCCGCGTGTTGGGAGTTTGGACCCGGCGTTGCGAGCGGGAGCGGTCTCACACCTGCACGGGCCCCGTGGATCCTGAGGCGCTGTCTCTTTGACGTGTTCTGGAGCCACGGGATGACGCTGATGGCCGCTGTCTTGTTGTGCTGTGGCTGTGGCTCGCACGTTCGCGTGAGCCCTGGGACCGCCTGGGCGCAGCCAGTCTGCGGGGGCTCCTCCCAGCTCGAGCTGCTGGTGTGTGGCTGCCCTGGGAGCGTCTTCTGGGCCGTGCATAGGGAGCTTGGGCCCGACGCTGCAAGCGGGAGCGGTCTCGCACCCGCATGGGCCCACCGGCTCTGTTGCTCCTGCTTCCTTGCAGTGGTGCAGAGCCATGGGATGCCGCCGATGGCTGCTGCCTGGTGGTGCTGCGGCTGCGGGTCTCACGTGGTGGGGAGCATTGGGACAGCCTTGGCACCGCCTGGCTGCTGGTATTGCTCGCAGCGCGTGTTGCTGGCGGTCGGCTTCTCTCCTGCAGTCTTCTAGGCCATGTGTAGGGTGCCTGGGTCTGACGGGTGCCCCGGGTTTGGTGTTGCCGTCGGTCAGGCCCAGGCTGGCTGGAGCAGCTGCAGCCCTCAGACACTGGGCAACTGGGGAATGGTGCCGATGGCATCTGTCTGCTGCTGCTGGGGCTGCTGGTCTCCTGTGTCTGAGGTTCAGGAGACTGGCCCGGTGCTGCTGGGCTGGCAGTGCTTTTAGGGATTGTCTTCCAGGACCGGGGCAGGGTCCTGAGCCGTGCCCCAGTCCTCCTGGAGCAGACAGGCTGTGCCAAGCTCACACCAGGCACCCTCTGCTGGGCCTTGCCTGACCCCTGGCCCCAGCCCAGGGCCACCCGGGTGCTTTGACACTTGGAGGTGCCCAGGCCAGCACAGCTCTCACACTGCCATCTGCCCTCATAGCTGTTTGTCAGGTTCGAGCAGCGTCTGTGAGTGCCCACAGCAGCGCAGGAGCGGCACAGGAACAGCTGCCAGGGCCCATTTTGCTCAGCCACCCGCCTGCCTCCTGGACAAAGGCACTCCCTGGCATCGCAGCTCGCGTGCCTCTGCTGCCGTTCTGTGGATGCATCGTTGTCTTCCCATGACGCTTTTCTTACGGGGAGTCGGATCCCCATGGAGAGCATTTCTGTTAGAAACAGTCTCCTGTTTTGGCACAGAGGGCACACCAAGGAAAAAGCGCCAGCATTCATAGCCTGTCCCTGGATGCAGGCCCTGTGGAACCAGGCGTGTTTGCATGCTGGGCACACCATGGTCCCATAGGTGGTTCTGCCTTCCACAGGGTCCTTGCAGATGAGGCAGTTGGCGTCCTCTGGAGCCGCCAGCTCTTGCTGCTGTGGGCGGTGCTCCCAGCAGAAGGAACTGTACGGCAGGAGGTAACGGGTGACGCATTCACCCTCCACGGCACAGGGGAGATGGAACCTGCGGTCGCAGCCCGTCTCCTGGCAGGTGATGGTGGCCCCCCTCTTGCCACACACAAAGCAGACCATCCGGGCTGCCAGCTTGGCTGTACGATCAACCTCTTCAGGAAGAAATTCCATCACTTCTTCCTGCTCGGTCCCTTGTGGACGAAGGTCACTGGCAAAAAGCAGGCAAAGGTGATGAGCATAGATCCCCTGATATCTCAGTTTTGGCCCGCACATGTCCGGATCTGCCTTTACACGGCAACACAGAATGCATTCGTGCTCCATCGCGTCGGGTGTCCTGCAGCTCCTTGCGGAGGTGTCAGACATCAAAGGTTGGCAGTGCTGGAGCTTCTTCTCCAAACGCTCCTCTGCTACCTCTGAGGGAGAAGAGAGACGCGCGTGAGTTTGCAGCACAGGCCCAGAGCCCTGCGGTGTGGAGCCCCCTCCTCCCTCGGCAGCCCCCCGAGAGTCCTGTCCCTGCCCTCTACTCCCCGCACCTCACCAGGTCGCAGTGATGCACTGTGCCCAGCGTTCTCTTTTTATAGGCCTGCCCCTGCCACCGGTCAGAGTGGCCTCTGTGACATCAGCACTGCTGGCCTGCGTGCACCCCAAACACGGGCACGGGCATCCTCGGCCACACACCACCCACTGTGACACGGGCTCTTGGCACCCAGGTCGCCGGGGCGGCTGCTCCACCTGCAAGCGCAGACTCAAGGGCCAGCTTAGGGGCATGGTTTCCTGGTGAACTTGGCGGTGTTTGCTTAACGGTTGGACTCGATGACCTTTATGGCCTTCTCCAGCCTAAATGATTCCTGTGACTCTCATTACCATTCCGCTATTATTTTATCACCATTTGCTTACGCTATGGTTAACATTTAAAAGATTTAAAAGCTTATCAAGGGGCGTTTCAGCTCTGTATTTGGCACTACTGGGGTCTGCATTAATGCGTGTAAGTTACCTGTAAAATGGGAGCAATGAGGTGGTCAAATTAATGCCTGAATGGGTATTCTTGAGCGGTTACGTATGCTTTTTGCCCTTTATTTTTTTAAATGACAAAATCTGTTTTAAGTGTAGGTTGTCTTTCATGAGCATTTGTAACTTTGCCAGGTACTTAGTAACCTGTCAGCGTGTCAGAAGTCACTGGCACTGGGGTGCATGATTGTGGGGGGTGAGCCGTGAGGGCCCGGCCGGCTGGGTGGGTGGGTGGGTGGGTGGGTGCAGGAGGTGGGTCAGCAGGAGGTGCTGCTGACATCTAGGGAAAGGACAATGCGCTGGGCGCAGTCCCTCATGCTGCCCCTTGAGAAAGGCAGGGGAGGAGGAAGCCAACCAAGGAGCCTGGAATCTCCCAGTCCAGATCTGAAGTGCGTACAGGGGCAACAGCTGCTACTCAAACTTTGGCTGATATGAACAGCACAGCTACCCCAGCGGCAAGTACAGCAGCTGCTCAAACTTCAACCGCAACAGACAGCGCGGTTACCCCAGCTCCAAGCACAGCAGCTGCACCAACCCCAGCGACAAGTACAGTCGCTACTCAAACTTTGGCCTCAATGAACAGAGCAGCTACGCCAGTGGCAAGTACAGCAGCTGCTCAAACTTCAACCGCAACAGACAGCGCGGTTACCCCAGCTCCATGCACAGCAGCTACACCACCCCTAGCAACAAGTACAGTTGCTACTCAACCACAGTGATAATCACTGCAGCCAAACCAGAGGACCAATTCGTACCAATATCGGTTGCCCCTGTACGCAAGAGAACAAGCAAAAAGGAGGCAAAAAGGGTGAAGCGAGATGAAGAAACAAGGAATTCACCACCCGCTCCAGAATCTGATCAGGAGTCATCATCACATGACGAAGAAGAAGAAGAAGAGGTAACTTCTCGACCTCGGACCTCAACCGAGCTGCGGAATATGCAAAAAGATTTTACCCGTCAACCAGGGGAGCACATCATCACCTGGTTACTCCGATGCTGGGACAATGGGGCCGATGGTCACGAACTAGAAGGTACAGAAGCCAAGCAGCTGGGATCACTTGCTAGAGAAGGGGGAATTGACAAAGCAATTGCAAGAGAGAAAAAGTCCCTCAGCCTTTGGAGGCGGCTCTTGGCAGCTGTGAAAGGAAGGTTTCCGTACAAGGACGATGTTACGAGTCGTTCGGCCAAGTGGACTACTATAGACAAAGGCATCCAGTCTCTGAGGGAATCGGCCATCGTAGAGATGATCTATCACATCAAGCTGAATGACAGGCATACACCTATAGATCCAGATGAAGTTGAATGTACACGACCCATGTGGCGAAAACTTACACGGAATGCACCGTCATCATATGCCCATTCATTGGCAACAGTAGCCTGGAATGACATAGTACCACTAACAGTGGATGAAATGGTTCATAAACTCCGAGAGTTCGAAGACAATCTCACCCCTTCCATCATCTCAGCTGTGAAAAAACTGTCCCAGGACCTCGAACAATTGAGGGACGATCTATCTGATTTATCCAGCTCCTCACGTGTACCAACACACGTCTCAGCTATTAACAAAAGGCATCCTATTGTTCAAGAGAGGAGATACAGGAGGTATACGCCACGGGGTACCCTATGGTTTTACCTGCTGGATCACGGAGAAGACATGACAAAGTGGGATGGAAAACCTCCTTCAGCTTTGGAGGAACGGGTGAGTGAACTGAAGAGGGGAGCAAGGGCCAAGACTGATCGTCCCATGAGAGCTACGGCTTCAGTCTCTGGTGAGCAGTTTCCCAGATGGAATGGAAGAGCTGATTTTACTCCAGCTCCTGTGATAACGAAGAATAATCCCTTTCACCACGACTTAAGTGTCCAAGGCTGTGACGACCATTAGAGGGGCCCTGCCTCCAGCCAGGTGGAGGTAGGGGACAATCGGATTTACTGGACTGTGTGGATCAGATGGCCTGGCACATCAGTCCCACAGAAGTATAAGGCTCTAGTAGATACCGGTGCACAGCGTACCCTGATGCCATCAAGCTGTCAAGGGGTGGAACCCATCTATATTTCTGGAGTGACAGGAGGATCCCAAGAGTCGACTGTGCTGGAGGCTGAAATCAGCCTGACTGGGAGGGAATGGCAAAAGCACCCTATTGTGACTGGTCCAGAGGCTCCATGCATCCTCGGCATAGACTACCTCAAGAGAGGGTACTTCAAAGACCCAAAAGGGTACCGGTGGGCTTTTGGTATTGCTGCTTTGGAGACTGAGGAAATTGAGCAGCTGTCCACCTTGCCTGGTCTCTCACAAGATCCCTCTGCTGTGGGGTTGCTGAAAGTTGAAGAACAACAAGTGCCAATTGCGACCACAACAGTGCACCGGCGGCAATATCGCACCAACCGAGACTCCCTGATTCCCACCCGTGGACTGGAGAGTCAGGGGGTGATCAGCAGGACCCGCTCACCCTTTAATAGCCCCATATGGCCAGTACGAAAGTCGAATGGAGACTAACAGTAGACTATCGTGGCCTGAATGAAGTCACACCACCATTGAGTGCTGCCGTACCGGACATGCTAGAACTTCAGTATGAACTAGAGTCAAAGGCAGCCAAGTGGTATGCCACGATTGATATTGCCAATGCATTTTTCTCAATTCCTTTGGCAGCAGAGTGCAGGCCACAGTTTGCTTTTACTTGGAGGGGTGTCCAGTTCACTTGGAACCGACTGCCCCAGGGGTGGAAACACAGCCCTACCATTTGCCACGGACTGATCCAGACTGCACTGGAACAGGGGCAAGCTCCAGAACACCTGCAATACATTGATGACATTATTGTGTGGGGCGATACAGCGGAAGAAGTCTTTGAGAAAGGGAGGAAAATAATCCAAATCCTGCTGAAAGCCGGTTTTGCCATAAGACGGAGTAAGGTCAAGGGACCTGCACAGGAGATTCAATTTTGGGGAATAAAATGGCAAGATGGACGTAGACAGATCCCCACAGATGTGATCAACAAGATAACAGCAATGTCTCCACCAACTAATAAGAAAGAAACGCAAGCTTTCTTGGGTGCAGTGGGGTTCTGGAGAATGCACATCCCGAATTACAGTTCGATTGTAAGCCCTCTCTATCATGTGACCCGGAAGAAGAATGATTTTAAATGGGGCCCTGAGCAGCAACAAGCCTTTGAGCAAATTAAACGCGAGATAGTTCATGCAGTAGCCCTTGGACCAGTCCGGACCGGACCAGATGTAAAAAATGTACTGTACACTGCAGCTGGGGAGAACGGTCCTACCTGGAGCCTCTGGCAGAAAGCTCCAGGGGAGACTCGAGGTCGACCCCTCGGCTTTTGGAGTCGGGGATATAAAGGATCTGAGGCCAGCTATACCCCAACTGAGAAAGAGATACTGGCAGCCTATGAAGGGGTTCGAGCTGCTTCGGAAGTGATTGGCACTGAAGCACAGCTCCTTCTAGCACCCCGGTTGCCCGTGCTGGGCTGGATGTTCAAAGGCAGGGTCTCCTCTACACATCATGCAACTGATGCTACATGGAGTAAATGGGCTGCACTAATTACACAACGAACTCAAATAGGAAATCTCAGTCATCCAGGCATTCTAGAAGTCATCATGGACTGGCCAGAGGGCAAAGATTTTGGAATGTCACCAAAGGAGGAGGTGGTGCGCGCTGAAGAGGCCCCACCATATAATAAACTGTCAGAAAGTGAAAAGCAGTATGCCTTGTTTACTGATGGCTCTTGCCGTATTGTGGGAAAGCATCGGAGATGGAAGGCAGCTGTATGGAGTCCTGGACGACAAGTTGCAGAAACTGCTGACGGAGAGGGTGAATCAAGTCAGTTTGCCGAGGTGAAAGCCATCCAGCTGGCCCTGCACATTGCTGAACGAGAAAAGTGGCCAGTACTTTATCTCTATACTGACTCATGGATGGTGGCAAATGCCCTGTGGGGGTGGTTGAAGCAATGGAAGCAGAGCAACTGGCAACGCAGAGGTAAACCCATCTGGGCTGCTGCACAGTGGAAAGATATCGCTGCCCAGGTGCAGAACCTGGTGGTGAAGGTACGTCATGTAGATGCCCATGTACCCAAGAGTCGGGCCACTGAGGAACACCAGAACAACCAACAAGTGGATAAAGCGGCTAAGATTGAAGTGGCTCAGATGGACTTAGATTGGCAACATAAAGGTGAATTATTTTTGGCCCGGTGGGCCCATGACACTTCAGGCCATCAGGGCAGAGATGCAACATATAGATGGGCCCGTGATCGAGGGGTGGACTTAACAATGGACACTATTGCCCAGGTTATTCATGAGTGTGAAACATGTGC